ACTATGACAGTTGCATGAGGTAATTAGCACAAAGATTAAGTTTTATGAAGCACCAAAGATGAATTATTTTAGCCTCAGAAGTGAAAAGAAGGAGAGAAGAAAAAAGAGGAGTACGCTCGTACTTACTACGCCACAAATTCCCGCTAGTCCGTGATTGCAAAAACGAGCATCATCTTGTGTGATCTCTGTTGTATATATTCTCCCTATAGATCTTATTGGTAGCCACGTATTATTTCCGCTCGCACGGACTTCTGCTACAAACCATATACTCCATAGCACATTCACCTTGTACCAGTTGTCCACGCAGGCAGCCATTGGCCTCATAACGTTATCTGCCCTTACCAGTCCGTGTTTACGGAAACAAGCATCATCTTGTCGTAATCTCTGCTGTACATACTTGTTCCTATAGATCTCATATCGCATTCCCTAATACGGTTCCCACAAGGTACGGGATCATTGCAATAGAAGTGCACTTACCCCGCCTTGCGCATTACGGGTGCTTTGTTTCCAGCTGAGTAGATTTATTCTATGTATTCATCGTAATCCGCATTATGCTCACAAATAGACTTCTTTTGTAAAAATTTCTGAGATCTCATACCATAAGCATACAGGAGTACAGACGAGATAAAGTATTGTTTTGTCGCTACACACTGAGGTAAAGTCTTCAACTGTTGGATAAAGTACTGTCTAGCTAAATGTTTGCTGTTCTGTAGAGTAGGGATATCATACAGTAATTCTAAGGGGACTTGGCTTTGTACTCGAAAACAGTTTCAAATATTCTCCAGCCATGCTCCAAAAACAAGATTATGATACCGTCAGTAAACTTCTAAAATGTAAGCCCTTCTGCCTATCGTATACCGTACACTACCGTGACTCTTCAAAGAAAAGAAGCAAGCATAAAGACGTTTCCTCTGGCACTTTCGCCTGCACTTATAGAGAAATACTGCAAAAAATATGAATAGTAAATAAGCAACAGAAAATATACGTGCTAGGACACTGCGACAAGATATCATCGCTTCTGAAGATGGTATCTTGTCGCAGTGTCGCTAGCAGTGTCGATTCCAAATTTTCATGATTCTTCTTTTTTAAAACATTCTATAATTTTGCTCCAATTCCTCAAAGATTTCGGAGGAATTTTCCTGAGGTGTATTTCTCAATCTTTACGATAGCTACTGTGTTAGTTGCATTTGTGCCAATCGATAGCCGATTAGTTGACCTTTGCAGACCTACCAGTGGTCTGATGAGCGAAGAAAGTCGTGATGTAAATGAAAAA